GCCTCTTCCTCCTCAGTGCTAGGATTAAAGGTGTCCAGCACCATCACCCAGCAGGTTTTGTTTTGTGACCAGGGCCATCCGTGTGAGCTGAAGGCACTATCAGAAGTTCAAAGGCACTATCTCCCCTCTGTCCCTCTGTCAGAAGCAGACAGTTCAGCAGTGAGAGGTAGCCCCCCTAAGCCCCTCAGCAGTGAGAGGTAGCCCCCCTAAGCCCCTCAGCAGTGAGAGGTAGCCCCCTAAGCCCCTCAGCAGTGAGAGGTAGCCCCCTAAGCCCCTCAGCAGTGAGAGGTAGCCCCCTAAGCCCCTCCTCCAGCCATACCTGTTGTTGATAGGCCTATCCCTTTTCAGAAGAGGTGCTGATCTCCCAGAATTGGAGTTACAGAAGGTTGTGAACCACCATGTGGATGCTGGGAATAGATTCCTGGTTCTCTGTAAAAGCAGGAAAGTTTTGTACATTGAGCCATCTTTCCATTCCCTGAAGGGTCATTCTTTTTCCCCCTTTCCTTCTATTCTTTCCAGAGACAGGATTTCTTTATGTAGTCCTGGCTGTCTTAGAACTTGCTATACAGACCAGGCTGCCCTCTTACCTACAGAGATCCACCTGCCTCTGCCTCCTGAGTTCCTGAGTGCTGAGAATAAAGTCATGGTGCCAAGCTGGATTTTTTTTCCCTTTTCTTTTTTTGAGACAGGGTCTTGCTATGTTGCCTACTCTCATCTTGAACTCAAGACTCAACTGACCCTTCTGCTTCAATCTAGACAGCTGGGGCTGTAACCATGCCCCAAGATAGGAATTTTTTCCATAATTTCCCATTAGGAGTTTTGGACTAGAATCTAGAGGGAAAGTGACTAGGCCATGCATATGTGACTTGACTAGACAGTGTCACATACCACTCCATAGAGCTTGTACCCTTTGTGTGCCCTCCAGCAGGACTTCACAGAGCTTGTGAATGAACAGCTCACCAACAGATTGGTGTTAAAACACTTTGACTTCATCAGAATCTGTTTTCCACTCACTTTGATGAGTTTCTCATTCCCATGTTCCTTTAGCCATCCTCACCCTTCCCGAGACTGCCAAACTACTTATTGACACGTTGAAAAGACACATTTGCAAGATAGGGTTTCTCTGTGTAGCCCTGGCTGTTCTGGAACTCACTCTGCAGACCAGGCTGGCCTCCAACTCACAGAGATCCACCTGCCTCTGCCTCTCAAGTGCTGGATTAAAGGCGTGCGCCGCCACCGTGCTTGCTTTTTTTTTTTTTTTTTTTTTTTTTGGACAGGGTTTCGTGTAACCCAGACTGCCCTCAAATTTGGTATATAGTCAAGGGTGACTTTGAACTTCTGATCTTATCTCTACCACCCGATTGCTGGTATTAAAAGCACGTGCCACCACACCCAGTTTACGTGGTGCTGGAGATTGAGCCAAGAGCCTCATGACTGCTAAGCAAGCAGTCTTCCAAATGAGCCACATCCCCTCCCTCTTATCTGTGACATCGCCTTCATACTAATTCTCACACAGGATGGGGCCTACTTTGGGATTTTTGTTTCCTTAATCCACCATGGGTTAGTTCTCCCAAAGACACCCAAGCCCAGCTCCGGACTCTGCTTAATGAGCACGGTGCAGCAGACAATGAGCTGAACACAGGCCCCCAAACTTCAAGCTTTTCCTGGCGACTCTGGCTGTCCTTCCAGTAAGCTTGACAGGAAGAATGACAGGGCAGCTGTGCACAGGACAGCTATTAAACACGCTATAGCCACAGCTCTTGGGGCTGGTGAGGTTGCTCAGTGGTTAGATGCTCTTCCTGCACTTCCAGTGGAGTTGGATTCCCAGCACCCTCTGTCTGCCAGCTAACAACTACCTAGAACTCTGGTTCCGGGGGATCTGATGTCCTATTCTGGCCGCCATGGGCACGATTGTGTGTACTCACACACTTATACGCATATAAAAGCCCCTCCCCTTTTTTGGCTGCGGTTGTGGCTCAGTAGTAGTTTGTTTGCCTATGTGCCTGAGGTCTGGGGTTTGATTCCCCAGCACAGGTGCCCAGCAGGGTTGGTTTCTTTAGAGAAGTGCTAGGAGAGACAATGCCAAAATATTCTGAGTGGTGACAGGTAGCAATGTCTTGTTGCTAGAAGACACTAGCAGTAGTAACAAGCTGTCCCTCTCCTTCAACTTCGCCTCTGTGCCCTCTGGAAATGCTCTCTTCTGGGCAGATTATGCGGGTGTCCCATGGGGGTGAACACTTGCCTAGAATGGGACCCTAGGTGTCATCCCAAGAATGGGGCAGGCAGAGCCACTTAGCAGGTGGGAGCCCAGGTGGTGGCCAATGCTTAGTACAGAGTGGGGTTCGGGCCCATCTGACATCCCCAAGCTAGCCTGTGCTCTCTTCTCCAATTAGGGGTCTTCTGTCCCAGGAGAAAGGTTTCGATGAGGGGATGGGCATGCCAGCCTCACATTCATATCCCGGCCTCACACTGTGATCATGTTTAACGGTGAGGGCAGAACTGGTCTGTATCTCAACTGTTCAGACCAGTAGCTTCCATAAAATGTGGCCGGCTGGTGACACTAGGAACTTAAATTCAATTTGCTTTGTTCGGAGACAGGGTCTCTCTGTGTCCCAGGCTGCCTTAAATGCATACAGGTTGGAAATACAGGCATAACCAGTGTCGCCCAGCTTTTAAGACAGTCACCCAGTAACTAAAGGTGACTGCTCTGAACAGTGTAGCTTTGACCAGTTCCAGCCTGGCCCTTCTCTTTCCACTTAGAACCTGAAAGAAGATGCTGCACGTGCCAGAGGCCAGGTGAGAAGACAGCAGGCCTGAATAGGGAGCAGGGTGGGGTAAGTTGTGGGCCAGACCCTCCATACAGAATACCCATGGGAGCTCTGTGGGGGGAGGCCAGCCCACAGGAGCCCCACTCCTTCCTCTGTGGCCATCACAATGGCATTCAGGTCTGCGTCACAATGCCCCTGGCAGTGGGAGGCTGGTCTCTTTGTCTGCAGACCTAGTTACAGGAACTCCAGCGTCAGAGGACCCTGTTTGCCTGGGAATGGAAAGGAGCTCAGCAGCCCAGTGGCCTCAAGATGGAGACCTATAAGAAGAAGGCGAATAAGTGTGGGGCTGGGAGACCCTGCCCAGTCACAGGACCCCGGGCCTGCAGGTCCCAGCTGCCCACCTGCAGGGAGCAGGGGTTCTCCATGAGCACTGAGCAGCTGCTGGTCTTCTTCCTGGCTATCTGGTTCTTCTATTTCTTCTACCTTCAGGACTGACTTTGACAGCGCCTCCCCGGGGAGTGGTTGGGGGTCAAAGCCTTGGCCCCGCAGGGCAGCTGAACAGACCTCACCTGCTGCCTAGGAAAGAAGACCCAGAGCCTGCAGCTGCTGTGGGCCCGTCACCTCAAGCTGGCCTGCCTTTTGGTCTCAGAAGAGCCGAGTGTCGCATGTCTTCAACAGGTCTCCAGCCTTGTACCTCCACTGAGTACATGACCCAATACCAGGCAAAGGCCAGGACAGCCCTGGAAGGCTGCCGGGTGGAGGCAAGATTGTGGCTAAGGCTTCTTGGTCAGTGGAGTTGAGCTCTGCATGGTTACTAGGAAGCTGTTTTATGCCTGGCCCCAGGCCTAGTCTCTAATGAGAAATAAAATGCCCATGGGGCCAAATAACATATTTCTTTTTATTTTGGTGTCTTTGAGACAAGTAGCCCAGGCTGGCCTTGAACTCATGGCAGGCCTCCTGACATTTGGATTTACAAGCTTGCACCACACAAGGCTTTCATTCTTATATTCTAGGGAAGAAAAACAGCTCTGTGGTGCGGGCAAGGGTGGAGAAAAGAGCACTTCCTTGGTGGTGGGGTCAGATCTTGAAGAGGAAAACAATCACAGAAAGGGTATGGGTGACTCCCCGCTGGACTCAGGGTAGGTCCTGCCCACCCTAAGGGCTCCTGACCTAGTTTTCCAGCAAAATAGGACAGGCACCTCTGGTAGAGCTGCAGAGGAGTGGCAGCCTGGGGCTCTGGGGTGGAGGGTGGAGATAGCTCCCAAAGCTCACACTGAGGCCTGAAGGCTGAGTGGGAAGTGGACCCACTCCGGAGACCATTGCAGGTTGTGGGTAGGTCCTGACCCCCAGACCAAGGCCTCTGTAGTTGTATGGGCTAAAAACAGAACACCTAGAAGGGAAGCTCAGGCAGAGTGGGCATGTGTGGGCCCACAAGGCAGTGCGTCCATGCAGACCCTGGTGTCATGTGTCTTGTACGATGGCTGCAGTAGTGGGTACTGGTGGTGCGATGTGTAGGAGAAAGGAGGTGACATTCTATTGGCCACCTCTGTGGACACATCCCCTGGGAACCCTGAAAGCGGATTCCCTAAGCCCCAGGACTGAACTCTGGGCAACCTGAAGGAACAGAGAATGTGTGGTTCAAGGGGCTGTGATGTATCTCAAAGACCATGCCTGGAAGGGAAGGGGCTGGGAACAGTGTGGTGACATACAGATATTCTAATGGCTGGAAGTTCCTGACAGTGAACAGATTTGGACAGAATCCTAGTTTTCTTTGGGGCTCCATAAGGTTTAATTTTGAGTGGAAAAAAAAAAAAAAAAGTGTAGCCTAGGAAGCCAATGAGGTGGTTCAGAGAGTAGAGGATTTTGCCACAAGGCTAATGGCCTGAATTTCAGTTCTGGGAGCCACATAGTTGGAAAGAGTGAGCCAACCCAAGGGTATAGTCTGACTTCCACAGGCATACATACCGTGCCACACAGGTGCCCACACACATACACAGAAATTGTTCAGAATGTTGCCTCTAAACAAGTGTTTTCCTGTAGTGGGCCACATACAGAACAGGGATGTCCTCCTTTAGAGGAGCAACCAGACACGCTCTGGCAACTGGCCAGATCGAAGCTACTCCCCTCCCCTTGCACTGACACACCCATGCTGGCTAGATCTAAACCACTGCCTGACAGGTGGCAGCCACTGCACATGGCCGTCTTGCCTGTGTGCCAGGAGTAAGCCTCAGGGAATGTCAACTGTCATTTTTATTAAGGCTCTAAGTGTCCGCGGGGGTGGAGGTACACATGGCTAAGTCATGTGCTTGACAACCCCTACCATGGTCCACTTCTGAGTGACCCTGAGGCAGAGAAGGCTGTGTGAGGTCCCAAGTTACAGTCTACTGAGTGTCGTCCACAATGTTCCATTAGGTCATGAGCAGCCAGGCGGTAGTGGTGCACGCCTTTAATCTCAGCTCTTGGGAGAGAGGCAGATGGAGTTCTCTGTGAGTTTGAGGCCAGCCTGATCTACAGAGTGAGCTCCAGGATAGCCAGGGCTACACAGAGAAACCCTGTCTCAAAAAACAAAAAACCGAAACAAAGATTGTGTGCAGATAACGGGGCATCAGGGGAGTGCTTCTGAACAGCTGGGGCTGGCTCTGGTTGGGGAGTGGCAAGGTAGGCCAGGGAGAATAGGGATGTCTTCCCTAGCCCAGCCTATGGCTTTATTATCCTGTTGTTGCCTAAGCAGGAGTGGGGTGTCCTGATCCGGTCCCCGTAGCACATCATGAGGCGCTAAAACCCAGGACAGAACAGGGGCACTGGGACCCTGTTCTTGCTTCCTCCACCTGCAGGACTCCCCTCCAAACGGGGCTTCCCAGTCGAGGCTGGTCACTCAAAAATGGACCCGCAGCACATCCTGGCTGGTGACCGGCTGCTGGCAGGCTGTGCACATCATGGGCTGAGAGCGTTGCTGCTCACTCAGGCAGGGTCGGCACAGAAGGTGGCCACAGGGCAGCTGGTACACAGGCTCCTTTGTGGAGTAGGAAGAAAATGCTCTTTTGCAGGACGCACACTCTGGACCACAAACACTCCTGGGATGCCCTGCTGAGTCACAAGAACATGGCAGGTTAGTGAGCTGTTGTACAGTTCGGCTCTGTCCCTGAAGCTGGGAACGGGCAGGCCTCCCTTCCACCACCTCTAGTCTTGCTGCTGTCTATGAATGCTTGAGGACTGAGCTCTGAATGCCATGCGTAGGACCAGGCCTGTTCCCTGGCCTCCCAGACGAAGTGTATGCTCCCCTGCCAAAGCCAGAGCAAGGTACAAGCTTACCCTGACAAGATTAGCTTCAAGAAAAGAGAAAAGCAGACTGTGGCCCAAATATCAGAACAGTCAGGGTGGAGGAAATCGCCAGAGGGGCAGCTTCCATCTGTCAGGAGCTGCCTTCTAACCCTCAATCCCTTTCCTTGGGCAGACCCTCCCTCCCAGTTAAAGATTCACTAAGAGATTCCCTGTTGTGATCAACAGACAGGAGGGCCTCTGTGAAGCTAACTGTAACAGTCTCCTGACCGTGAGGACCATGGGGCCACACATGATGGGGATGGTGAGCACAGTAGCTGTAGGGAGCTCACCGAGGGCATTGCCAGGGCTGGGAAAGAGGATGCAGAGTTGGTTCCAGAGTGTCCTCAGAACCACAGCAAATAAAAGCACAACAGGGGTTGATGAGAAACCTCAGTGGCTAGAAGTTCCTTCCTGCATAAGCCTGATGACCTGAGATCCATCCCTGGAACCCACAGTGGAGGAGAGCCAACTTCTCAAAGTTGTCTTTTGACCTCTGTGTGTACTGCGTGCGCACGCGCACACACACACACCAGCATAAAAGGACCTAATAATGATTGGCCTGTCAGAGTGTGGACACTGAAGGAAAAACAAAAACAGACTACTGCCCTGTTAAAGGCTTGACAATCAGAAGTCAAGGCTCTTTACCAACACGGGCTCAGAGGGTGCTGGGGAGGAGAGCTCTGAAAAGAGACTGCACAGTTCAGTTACAGGCATTGGAGATACCAATGAGAAGCATCCCAGCAGCTATCAGGGAGGGTGAGGTCTGAGTTCCAAGGAGAAGAAGGAGCCACAAGAGCAGTACTAGATGAATGCTCTCACTGGAACAAAAGAAGACAGGCTGAATGAGGGAAGCTGCTCAGTCCGAAGGCCAGAAGAAAAGAAGGCAGCTAAGGCAGGACAGGCTGGCTAATCACAACCCTGGATGCTGAGAGGACACGCAGCTACAAGACTCAGTTTCTCTGGGTACTTTCAAAGATATGTTCTTGGGAATAGTTAGGGAAGAAACGATCAGAGTGGGCAAAAGTGAAGTGGAAATGCACATGACCATAGGAGGGACAGGCTCTGCATCTGCAGGAGGAATCAATAGTCAGTCCTACCAGCCTCACAGGTCCATTTAGTCCTTTGTTTAATAAAAGGGTTTGGGGAGCTGGAGTGATACTCAGTTGTTAAAGAGCACTGGCTGCTCGAAGAGCACCTGGGTCAACTCTAAGCACCCACATGGTGGCTCATAAGTGTCTGTAATTCCGGTTTCAGGTGACCTGACGCTTTCTTCTGGTCTCCGCCAGGCATGGACATGGTACACATACATACATAGAGGCAAAACATCCATACGCATAAAAAAGAGAGAAAGACAGACAGACAGAAAGGAATCAGTCAGTTCCTCACTTTGTATCTACCATATCACATTCGGCCCACTAACCTACCACTGTGCTTTTCCAGTACAGTGATAAAAATGTTACCAAGGCCAGAAGATGCTGGGTGGGGGCACACACCTGTAATCCCAGCGTGTGGGAGGCAGAGGCAGAGGCAGAGGCAGAGGCAGGCAGAACTCAGTGAGTTTGATGCCAGCCTGATTTACAAAGCAAGTTCCAGAACAACCAAGGCTGTTACACAGAGAAACCCTCTCTTGAACCCCTCTACACATAAAAGGGCAGATAACGTCTGAAAGCTAAATCTTTCTCCTCATGTAGACAAAATAACCCAGATGTCAGATTAAAGGAAGATTAGGAAACAAAATAGCAGGGTCAAAGTCCCATGAGAGAACTATGCAGTTCACCTCAGCCAAGTGTGGTGGCACCTATGTAATCCTAGCACTTGGGAAATGGAAAGTTCAAGGCCAGTAAGACCCTATGTCAAAACAATTACAACAAAAGCCTATAGCAAAGGACAGCCAGGCCAGAGTCCACAGAACGACAGGGCTAACTAAAGATCTTGTCTGTGACGAGTCCCATTTCCAGGCAGCCCCTCATCTCCTTCTGGAATCCCCACAGAAGACAGAGAGATTCGGCCCAGCACCCTGCACAGGCAGATGCTAGAGCTCACAGAGCATTACCGTAGCTGGTGTCTGGCCTCCTGAAAGCACAGCTCCCTCTTGTGCTCAGCTGTTGGAGCTGACCCTTGGAGAGCCGGGCAGTGAAGGAAGGCATGGAGCCAAGGGTGGAACTCAAGGCAATTTCCAGACTTTGCGACAGCTTCTGCTCATGGGACACTGGACCTGTGAGAGACACACAGACCATGACATCCAGGAAGGCTCAGCAAAGGAGAGACAGCTACACGTTCTTAGATGACCCTTCCAACTTTAGATATAAAGTTTTCTTTAGGTATAAAGAAAACCTCTCCCTGTGTCTCCCAGGACTGTGAAGGTAGAACAAGAAGTTAAAGGGAATCCTGATAACTCCTCCCCATCTCCAAAGCCTACAAAGCTCAGGGCTTTCTCTAGTTTTCCCCTAACAAAGTGTCATGCAGGAGGGAGCCATCTTGAGGCTTCCAGAAAGAACTACACCTACTTTTTTATTTTGTGGTGCTGGGGTATGGTCCTGGACTTGTGCCTTCCAGACAGTCACACTATCATTACATCCACAAGCCCCTGTGTTACATTTTGAAAGGCCTGCCTGCTGGCCCAAGAAATGATGAGACAGCAGCTACCAGCTCTGTACACTCCCTACACATTCTATCCTCTGCCTCAGCGTACTTCCCTTCCCTTCCCTCCCCTCCCCTCCCCTCTCTTTCCCTTCCCTTTCCTCCCCTCCCCTCTCTTTCCCTTCCCTTTCCTCCCCTCCCCTCTCTTTCCCTTCCCTTCCCCTTTCCTCCCCTCCCCTCTCTTTCCCTTCCCTTTCCTCCCCTCCCCTCTCTTTCCCTTCCCTTTCCTCCCCTCCCCTCTCTTTCCCTTCCCTTTCCTCCCCTCCCCTCTCTTTCCCTTCCCCTTTCCTCCCCTCCCCTCCCCTCTCTTTCCCTTCCCCTTTCCTCCCCTCCCCTCTCTTTCCCTTCCCCTTTCCTCCCCTCCCCTCTCTTTCCCTTCCCCTTTCCTCCCCTCCCCTCTCTTTCCCTTCCCTTCCCCTCCCCTCTCTTTCCCTTCCCCTTTCCTCCCCTCCCCTCTCTTTCCCTTCCCCTTTCCTCCCCTCCCCTCTCTTTCCCTTCCCTTTCCTCCCCTCCCCTCTCTTTCCCTTCCCCTTTCCTCCCCTCCCCTCTCTTTCCCTTCCCTTCCCCTCCCCTCTCTTTCCCTTCCCCTTTCCTCCCCTCCCCTCTCTTTCCCTTCCCCTTTCCTCCCCTCCCCTCCCCTCTCTTTCCCTTCCCCTTTCCTCCCCTCCCCTCTCTTTCCCTTCCCCTTTCCTCCCCTCCCCTCTCTTTCCCTTCCCTTCCCCTCCCCTCTCTTTCCCTTCCCCTTTCCTCCCCTCCCCTCTCTTTCCCTTCCCCTTTCCTCCCCTCCCCTCCCCTCTCTTTCCCTTCCCCTTTCCTCCCCTCCCCTCTCTTTCCCTTCCCCTTTCCTCCCCTCCCCTCTCTTTCCCTTCCCTTTCCTCCCCTCCCCTCTCTTTCCCTTCCCCTTTCCTCCCCTCCCCTCCCCTCTCTTTCCCTTCCCCTTTCCTCCCCTCCCCTCTCTTTCCCTTCCCCTTTCCTCCCCTCCCCTCTCTTTCCCTTCCCCTTTCCTCCCCTCCCTCTCTTTCCCTTCCCTTCCCCTCCCCTCTCTTTCCCTTCCCCTTTCCTCCCCTCCCCTCTTTCCCTTCCCTTCCCCTCCCCTCTCTTTCCCTTCCCCTTTCCTCCCCTCCCCTCTCTTTCCCTTCCCTTCCCCCTCCCCTCTCTTTCCCTTCCCCTTTCCTCCCCTCCCCTCCCCTCTCTTTCCCTTCCCCTTTCCTCCCCTCCCCCTCTCTTTCCCTTCCCCCTTTCCTCCCCTCCCCTCTCTTTCCCTTCCCCTTTCCTCCCCTCCCCTCTCTTTCCCTTCCCTTCCCCTCCCCTCTCTTTCCCTTCCCCTTTCCTCCCCTCCCCTCTCTTTCCCTTCCCTTCCCTTCCCTTCAACCCCTTTTTTTTCTTTAGACAGTAGTATTACTATGTAACCCAAGCTGGTCTCAAAATCATGTTGACTCTTTCAGCCTCTGCCTCTTGAATGCTGGAAATACAGGCATTTGCTACATTTATTTATTTGTTTATTTATTTATTTATTTATTTTTGAGACAAGGTTTGTTTGTATAGCCCTAGCTGTCCCCTATGCTGGGACTAAAGGCATGTACTACCACCACCTGGTGCTTTTTTTTTTTTTTTTAATAAGGAAGGTATGTTGGTAAGTGGAGGCAGAGGCAGGTGGAGCTCTGTGAGTTCAAGGCTAGCCTGGTCTTCAGATGAGTTGCAGGACAGCTAGGGCTACACAAAGAGAAACTCTGTCTCCAAAAACAAGCAAACAAAAGAAGTTCAAGTGCTAGGGAAATGTCAGTAAAGTGCTATCACCAAAACCACGAGCTGAGTTCACTCCCCCAGAATCTGTGTGTGTGTGTACACGTGTGTGTGTCTATATGTGTGTGTGTCTCTGTGTGTGTATATGTGTCAGTGTCTGTGTGTGTGTCTATATGTGTGTGTGTCTTTGTGTGTGTATATGTGTGAGTGTCGGTGTGTGTGTCTGTATGTGTGTGTGTCTGTGTGTGTGTGTGTGTGTCTGTGTCTGTGTGTGTGGGGGGTTTATGTGTTCCACTTGTATGCAGGTACTGGCAGAGACCAGAGGGTATCAGGTCCCCTGGAATTGTAGTTACAGGAGGCTTTTAGTCCCTGATGTGTTTATTTGCCTCTGGAAGAACATTAAGTGCTTTTAACTGAGAAGCCATTTCTCCAGTTCCAATATTCCTTTCTTTCTTATCTGCCTGTCTTTTACAAAAATAACATGTCAGCTGGGCATGGCAGCTGTACTGGCTGGTTATATGTCAACTTGACACAAGCTAGAGTCATCGGAGGAAGGAGCCTCAGCTGAGGAAATGCCTCCTTGAGATCCAGCTGTAAGGCATTTGCTCAGTGATCAATGGAGGAGGTCCCAGCCCCTTGTGAGTGATACCATCCCTGGGCTAGTGGCGCTGGGTTCTGTAAGATGGGCCAAGCAAGCCAAGGAGAACAAACCAGTAAGGCAGCACCCCTCCATGGTCTCTGCATCAGCTCCTGCCTCTGTGATCCTATCCTGATTGAGTTCCTGTCCTTGTTTTCTTCAGTGATGAACTGCAGTGCTGAAGTGTAAGCCAAATAAACCCTTTCCTCCTCAACCTGTGTTTCCTCATAGCAAGTGAAACCCTAAGACAGTGGCCCAGGCCTTTAATCCCAGCACTTGGGAAGCAGAAGCAGGTGGATTTCCAAGTTTGAGGCCAGTCTGGTCTACAGAGCTATCTCTAGGACAACCAGGGCTACAGAGAGAAACTCTGTCTTAAAAGCAAACCAAAACCAAAACCAAAACCAAAACAAACAACAACTGAATAACATGTCTTGTCAGTCTGAAAAGTTACACCAGACATTTCCAGGTTCAGAAGTTTCCAAGGCAAGCCCAGGCTGCTCTGCTCAAGTGTCAGAAGAGTTGCTATTTCCAGGAACCACACTGGTGGCGCCAGGCAGCTTAAATCTCAAATCACTCATACTTAGGATTATACTTTCTTCCTGAGAGGAGGCCTCCAGCCTCACACTTTTCCATTTTCTATGGATAAGTGAGGCAGAGAGCCACAGCACATCTGCATCAATCTCCTTTGGGGAGACTAGACATAGTATCCCAAAGGCTTCCAGACACATGACAAGTGAAGGTTCCAGAAAAGAAGCCATAGTCTACTTGAGGGACCTACTGTTTTTCCTCCCAGCGGGTCTGAATGGAGGATTCGAGACAGAAAACACATTGATCTTGCCAGGAAAGACAAAGGGGACACCAAGCAGGTGAGTCCACCAATGGGACAGTTACTGGAGAAGGCACAAAGCATGATGACAGAACTCAGGGCAGTCAGCTGTGGGGCTTCCATCTGTAGTCCCAGTACTCAGGGACAGAGACAGGAGAATCAACACAATTCAAACCTGGTCAGGACTCCATAGTGAGCCTTGAAAAAGGCTGAGCTACAGAGTGAAACCCTCTTTCTAAACAAACAAACAAACATGTAGAAAATTTTAGAAAGAGAAGTCTCAGAATAGTAAAAGAACACACACATCCCTTTGAGACTCCCAGGTTATCTACAGACCAAGGACAAAAGTGAGATGCCCTACAAAAATAAGGAGGAAGAAGCGTAGCTGCCAGCTAGCAAGCACAAAGCCAAGGACAGCAGCATCACATCAGCAGGAAGGGAAGGGACCACCGAGCCATAGACACAGAAGAGTTACCTGCTGAACAGTCCATATCTGTCAGGCCGAGCTCAGTGGGGGCTTTCATCTTCTTGGCAGTAGGCTCTGAGGTAGAGGGTGAGGGCAGAGGGCTTGCAGCAGAGGAAGTAACACTCATGCCAAGGCTGTAGTCTGAGCTGTGTTCAGCCTGCTCCGGCTTCCTTTTCCTTGAGGGCAGCGTAATGATAGAAGGGGCCATCACTGATGTAGTCTGTGCTCTCCCAAGCAGGTGGCAGCCAGAAACAGAGTGCTGAAGAAGGAAATGGTCGATCCGGGCCTTCAGGGAAGGATGAGGTAGGGGGTGGGACTGTGGGGTAAAGGCTAACCCTGTGAAAGGGTCACTGGGCGCTCTGCCCCACGTAGCTTCACTGAGGTTACACTTCTCCAGAGTGCTCTGGTCAATGACCTTGCCTGAGGGCAGCAGCATGGGGCATGGCATGATCTCCAGGGTGATAGGATCTAGGAACTCCTCTGGCACATCATTAATCATATCAGATATCTCCTGTAAGATACAAGGATTCTGCTGGCCCTCAGATTGACCCCCAGGGTCACAGTCACTCTCCATGGGCAAGGCTGGAGTGTGCAGACCCAAGTCCTTAGGCTGGCTTTCTGATGCTATCAACAAGACACTATTTATCACCTCCTGAGAGCAGGTCTTGGCTGGCTGACCCCATACCTCTAAACGCTTTATGCAGGAGATGCCACTGCCTGTCACATGGGTGATTCCAATCTTGAGGTGGGCCACATGGCTAAGGGAAAGAGCTCCTTTATTCCAGAGTTCTTGGGCTACAACAGCAGGAGAAAGGAGTGTGACTTCCATTGGGCTAAAAGGTGGCCTGGCCTTGAAGCCCCTGTGGCTGAACACCACGTGGTTCTGGTTTTTCAGTAAGACTTTGCCTACCAAGGTGAATGCCTCCTTGTCTGGGACAGATAGTTCCATGGGGTCTGTAGTCCAGCACTCGTGTGAGTCCACAGAGGCCCTGCTGGATAAGGCAGACGTGTATAACTCCAGGCCAGTGACATTCTGACTTCCTCCAGCTGTGAGATCTATATTAATCCTACAGATTTCCACATTAAAGGGAAAGGAAACGGTCACATAGATTGGAGGTCTAATGAAATACTCTGTCCTAAAGCCATGGCTTCTCTTTATGAGGTCTTCAGAGATGAGATTTTCTACTTCATAACCATCAGCTGACACCTAGATTTAATGACAGAGGAGACACAGTGATTCAAATGAAGACAAGCAGGTTTCAAGAACTTGTCACTTAAAAAATACTTTTTACAGGCAGTGGTGATGCACACCTTTAATCCCAGCACTTGGGAGGCAGAGGCAGGGGGATCTCTGTGAGAGCCTGGTCTACAAGAGCTAGTTCCAGGATAGCCCCCAAAGCCACAGAGAAACCCTGTCTCAAAGAGCAAAAAAAAAAAAAAAAAAAAAAAAAAAAACCAAAAACAAAACAAAACAAAACAAAAACAAACCTTATGTCCTTTTTATATTTATTTATTTTATTTTATGTATATGGGTGTTTTGACTGCATGAAGTGCCTACTGAGGCCAGATCTCTGGTTGTGAGCCACCGTGTGGGTGCTAGAAATTACATCTGGGTCCTCTGGGAGAACAGCCAGTGATCATAACCACTGAGCCTACTCCCCAGTCCCACAAAATTTTATTTTACAGAAAACCTTAAGTTCTTAATTTTTCTTTTCAAGATAGGGTTTCTGTGTAGCCATGGCTGTCCTAGATCAGGCTGGCCTCAAACTTGCTTTTAGCTCCCCAGTGCTAGGATTAAAGGTATATGCCACCACCTGGCTAAATTCTTAAAATTATTTCCCCCGAGACAGGGTTTTTCTATAGCTTCGGAGTCTGTCCTGGAACTCAGTCTATAGACCAGGCTGGTCTCAGACTCACAGAGATTCACCTGTCTCTGCCTTCCAAGTGCTAGGATTAAAGGTGTACACCACCACTGCCCGGCGTCTAAATTCTTAATTTTAAATTATATCTGTTAAATGGAATTATCTCAAGTTTTTGGAGGCACTCAAAATAATGCCAAAGGCTGAAGGTAAATGTCCCCAAGCATGACCCACTATTAAAAATATGAGCAATAAGCTAGGTACCACGATATATATCTGAAACTCCCAGCAATTGAGAGGTAAAGCAGAATGATCAGATTTTCAAGATCATCCTAAATTTGCAAGTTAAAGGCCAGTTGGGGCTACATAAGACAAACAAACAAACAAACCCAAAACCAAGGTCTGAGAAGTGGCCTAGTGGTTAAGAGTACTTGCTGTTCTTTCTGAAAGGACCTGGGTTCAGTTCCCAGCACCTGGCTGGCCTTGAACTCACAGAGATTCTTATCCTGCTAAGATTTAAGGTATTCACCACAACACCTGACAAAAGCAAATTAATCTTAAAAGCAAAAACAAGGCAACAACAATACAACAGAAAACATGAGAGGGAAGGTGGAAAGGAAGGAAGGGAGGGAGGAAGGGAAGGAGGGGGGAAGGGAGGGAATGTGATTGATTCTACTCTGCTATGACTGTACATGTGATATTGATCTGCCAAGAGGAGTGCACGATCGATTCAGTCGATTTTCCACAAAATGAGTCATCGAACACCTCACAACAGTGCTCTGTGATTCTAGTGACTGCCCAGGACTTGTCTAAATGCTGTCTGCTGGAATCCAAGGGTGCAAGTACAGTAGCCTAAATCAAGACCACATAGACAAGGCAGGAAATGGGGAAAGTTTGAAGATTATATTATATACTTATGTGTATAATTTGTTTGGCTTACCTTGTTGCAGTGAATTCTTGGTCTGAACTGTGGGAGGCAAAGATTTATTACCATCTTTGTGGCCGAAAGAAAAGCTTCCAAGCATCAAAAACAGCCTTTAAAAAAAATGAAACTTAATATTAGCCAACACATTAAATTCAGCCAGGCATAGTGGCACACACCTTTGATCACAGCACTCAGGAGGTGGAGGAAGACAGATCTCAGTGAGTTTGAGGCCAGCCTGATCTACAGAGTGAGTTCCAGGACAGCCAAGTCTACACAGGGAAACCTATCTTGAAAAACCACAAATAAATAAATAAATAAATAAATAAATAAATAATTCTTTTAAACTTTTAGAAGTTGAATCTAAGAGAGGAGCAAATAGGGCAGAAACAGAACGTGTAGTATGCTCTCCTAGTCCACACCATTTTCCTTGTATCCTACTGATGCTGAGAAAATTACTCACTGAAAAGAAGGTGATTTTCTTTCCTTTAAAAAGAAATATTTTATAAAATAAATAAATAAAAGAAATATTTTGTTTAATGTACGTGTGTGTGTCTGAGTGCATGTCTACACCATGGGTATGCAGGAACCTAAAAAGGTCAGCAGCTTCAGATACCCTGAGACTAGGGTTATACAGAAGGTTGTGAACCACCATGTGGTGCTGGTCTCCAGGTTTGAGAAGGCAATTTTCTAACGTCAGTTCTGCAGAGGCTCCCACAGGAAGAAGCAGAACACAAGAAGGGAGTGGTGAATGGAAAGAGCCACAGAAAACAATCACGGTGGTACTAGGCACTTTTAACCCTTGTAAGTGTAACTGCCTCCTTACTAAACACACCTGAGTCTAAAGTGGTTTTGAGAAGGCTGGGGTGTTTTTTTGGTTTGTAGACTCTATGCAGCAGTTGAGGATGCTATCATGGCACCCTCATAGCATGGAATCCTAACCAGCATGAAATTTATGTTCATTTATTTCAGTGTACCAGATTCCCTTTTTCTTTTTTTAATTATAGAAATTGCTATGGTGTATTTATCATATGACGTGTGTGTGAAGACACATGTACACGTGTGAAGACACGTGGAGGTCAGAGGGCAGCCCCTTTTCTCCTCTCACCTTTACATGGGTTCTAGGTCTTTAACTCAGGTAGTTAGGCTTGTACTGCAGACACCTTTACCCTCTGAGCCATCTCACTGATCCCTTGATTCCTTCATTTAAGAAACTCTTCTAAATCAGGCAGTGGTGGCACACACTTTTAATCCCAGCACTTGGGAGGTAGAGGCAGATGGATCTCAGGTTCAAGGCCAGCCTGGTCTACATAGTGACTTCCAGGACAGCCAGGATTGTTACACAGAGAAACCCTGTCTAGAATCTCCACCCCCCCAAAGAAAAGAAACTTTTGTAAAGTTACATGTATTTAACACTGTGCATGTATGCTCATACATGCCACAGTGTGTGTGTGGGAAAGTCAAGAAGGCAAGTTGGCAAGAGTTGGTTCTCACTGGTACTATGGAGGAGGGCGGGGTCCTATAGGCAGAATTTAGGTCATCAGGCTTTTATGATAAGTGCCTTAAAGCTGGCTATACCACCTCACCTAGCCCCAGAGTACTCAATGAATTAAAACTAGGGTAGCTTCTAAGAGAAGGCTCTTAGAAGTTAAGTGTACTGGTTGTTCTTCTGGAGGACCTAGGTTCAATTCCTAGTACCCCTAGGATGGTTGACAACCAATTGTAACTCCAGTCCATGTTATCTGATACCTTCTTATGGCCTTTTCAGGCACTGGGCATGCACATGGTACAAATATCATGCACATAAAATAAAATTTAAAAATTAATGTACGATATAGAAATGTTTTGTTGTTTCATTTTGTGTTTTTGAGATAAGGTCTCTAATAGTCCAGGCCATGAATTTCTGATCCTCCTACCTCTACTTTCCACAGTGCCACAACACTCAGTTTATGTGGTGATGAAGATTTCCTACATGTTAAGCAAGCACTCTACCAAATGAGATACATCCCCAGCCCCAAACCATGGAAATCTTGATTACCCTTTCCCATATCTATTGGGTTAAGTCTGGAGGGGAACTTTAATGGGTCCTGCTCATTTTACCTGCCTCTTTACCCCTGTGTAAGAGGAGCCTTCTAGTTAAACATCATAAAGCTCTCCAACTTGGTCAATGGTCATCAGCTCCAGGAGAACATTACTGAAGCATGAGCCTAGGACAGCAGAATGTGGACTACCTTTCTTCACAGCACTTACTGAGTTGGAAGAAACAGAGGCTGTTCAGTCCATCCACATTACATTCTCTTCACTGTCAGCTTCAATGCCACCTCTTGCTTTCCGCCTGGTATCTTTGGGGACTGTGGCAGATCATATCTCATACTACTACCAGACAGATTTCTCAGGAGTTTGGATGATCCTCACCTGTAGCAAAAACAAATGGTAACACATTAATTCAATTTTAGGGCTCTGGGTGGACCTCAGTGGTAATGCATTTGCCTAGCAAGCAAGCATGAGGTTCTGGGTTCAATCCCAAGCATCACAAATAACTTTAAAAAATACAGATTAGGGCTGGAAATAAAGCTCAGTGGCAGAGAGGTTGATTAGTATTTGTAAAACTCTAGGTTCAGTGCCTAGCTCTAGAAAATTTTAAATGTATAAATATAACTTAATTATTATATATGGTGGTTTGAATGAGAGTGATTCCATAGGCTCTTATGTTTGAATGGTTGGTCTCAGTTATTAGAATTGTTCGAGAAGTATTGTTGGAGGGTCTAATAGTTCTAATACATTCTAATAAAGTTCTAATAGGTCTTAATAATAAAAGCCTAGAGTCTGATATTAGGGGATGAAAGATGAAGGATCAGAGAAGCAGAACAGCCAGCCACTAGAGCTCTTACCTCTACAAAATCCTCAGACTGAAAAGAGACTGAGCTCCTGTCTCCTCCTGTCTTATCATTTCCTCTCTCTACCCAACCATATAACCTCCTGTCTGTCTTACAGACCTCCAGACCTCTACAGTTAACTAGTGGCTAGCTCTGCCCTCTGATCTTCAGGCAAGCTTTATTTGTTAGATTATAAACAAGATATCATTACAGTGTGTCACTGGAGGTTTCAAATCTCACACCAGGCCCAGTTTGTCGTTTCTGTCTGTTTCTCTATCTGCCTATAACTGTGAGCTCTCAACTACTTCTCCAGCACCAAGACTGTCTGCCTTCCACCATGCTCCTTGCCATGATGACCTAGGACTAATCCCCTTGGAAATTGTGTCTCCCCCTGCAATAGAACAGTAACTCCCACACTGTATTCGTTTGCATCTTGTTGCTGGAGAAAGGGTTTAGTTGTCTTACACTTCCACACCACAGTCCATCTATGTGGGAAGTCAGGCCAGGAACTTAGCAGCAACCTGGAGGCAGGACACTAGCTTTTTAAACTTCATGTGTTACTCCACTTATTGTTTTTTTATACTCCCCCAGACCACCTCTCCAGGGCTGGCACTGATCACTGTGGGCTGCACACTCCCACATCAATCATTAATTAAGAAAATGATCCACAGACTTGCCTACAGGCTTATCTGATGGAGGCTTATGGTGGATCCTGTGGAGGAGCAGTTGGTTTTCAGATGACCACTGAGCCATCTCTCCATCCCCCAATTTTTTTCCAACTGAGATTCTCCTCTCTTCCCAGATGACTCTAGTTTGTGTGAAGTTTATCAAAAACTAATTAGTACAGTAGGACACAGGTGACACAACACATTAGCTGACATACCTACGATGTATCTTTCCCCAGCTGACTCTTGGGTAGTGTTCCTGCCTATCCCTAAGACCATTCCAGACATTAACACCACCATGCTCCTTGCACTATGGCACACATGCATGCACCTAACTGTTCTGCAACATCATGCAAAAACCAGTTTGTAAGGTAGGTCATAGTTTTCTTAAGTTGTTAAGACAATTATTCTCTACCTGATATGCTCTTTTTGAGATCCATGAGTAATTTTTCCTTTGTTCTCTATATTAAAATAAGTGTTTATCCCAAGCAACTCAAAAACAGGATCCTTTACTTCAGCTGCTATAAAGCAGGAATAAATCAGATTTGTTAGCACAGGCCTTTAATCCCAGCACCAGAGGTGAGGTAGGCAGATCTTGGGAGTTCCAGGACAGCCAGGGCTATGTAGAGAAAGCATGTCTTAAACACCAAAAACAAATTTTTGTTAAAAAGGGGGGGAAAAAAGAAGTTATAAAATCTGTAGCCTGGCACTTAAATTTATCTTTGTCTAAAATATGTATGTCACAGAGTATAAAATTGCTTTGAAATAGTTTTCAAACAGCATGGATAAAGTATAATCCGGTAGTAAATCATCTCGTTTTGGTACTCAGTGTTAGCAGACTGACTTCACTCTTGTACCTGGCCTCAAGATCACTATGCAGAAAGAGAAACCTGCCTACTCATCTTCCTGCCTCCACTTCCCAAGTGCCAGGATTGCATATGTGTGCTGCCACACCAGACCCGAGATAAACATTTTAGTAGATTTCTGTCTTTCCCCCTTTAATCTTACTTCAGCTTACATTTTTTAAACAAATTCTACATGTTTTCAAAGATTTCAATTATAATAAGTTGGATCTTTTTTGTCAATTTTTTTTAAATTTAAATTAAAAACAATCTTATTTTCCACACCAATCCCAGTTCCCTCTCCCATCCTCCCATGCCTCCCACCTATCCCTCACTCCATCCCCCTTCCACTTCCCAGGGAGGGTGAGGCCTCCCATGGTGGGATCATCAAAGTCTGTCACATCATTTGGGGCAGCGCCTAGGCCCTCCCCAAGTACCTAGGCTGAGAAAGTATCCCCCCATAGGTAATGGGCTCCCAAAGTCTGAGCACTAGGGATAAATACTGGTTCCAATGCCAGAGGTTCCATAGGCTGCCCTAGCCTCTCAACTGACACCCACATTCAGGGGCCTGGTTCAGTCCTATGATGGTAAATTGGCAAGCAAGTAGCTTAGGCTGGCCTAGAACTTACTATGAGGCCAAGACTAGTCTTGAGTTCCTGACCCTCAGGTCTCCATTGCTCTAGTAGTGGGGTTACAGGCATGTACTATCATGCCAATTTGCATTAATTTTGTGGACCAGTTATTCTACTTATAGGAAAATATACACTTCAGGGTCTTTATATGTGATGAGTTTATTTACTTTTTGTTTTATTTTTGGATGTTTTTGGTGGTGCTGGGAGTTGACCTTCACATACACTAGGCATTCTACCACTGACAGCTTGAACTCAATAATTCTAATAGATGTCGGGTAGGTTTACTTGGGGTTTTATACTATCAGTAATAGTGATAGCAGGCTTTCTGAAGTGATAATTCTTTTTTTGGGGGGGAGGGTATATAACAGCTTTGGAACTCATTCTGTAGATCAGACTGGCCTCAATCTTATAGAGATCTGCCTGTCTCTGGTTCCCAAGTGTTGTGTTTAAATAATTCTTATTTTTGTCACTGAACTACTAGAATTTTCAGAATGCTATAACAGAGTTACTATCCTTAATCATTCTCATAAGGAAATGCCCCTGATATGGCTCAGTGGGCAGAAGCACTTTCCACCAAATCTGATGACCTGAGTTCCATCTCTAGGACCCACAAGGTAGGAGAAAACACCCATACATGCACACATGCTGTGGCAGACACTCCCCTAGTAAATGTAATACAGGTTTTTTTTTGTTATTTGTTTTTGCAGACAGTGTTCCTCTTTGTAACCCTGGCTCTTCTAGAACTAGCTATGTAGACCAGGTTAGTCTCAAACTCAAGAGATCAGTCTGCTTCTGCCTCCCAAATGCTGGGATTAGAGGGGTATGCCATCATGCCCAGCAATAAATGTTTTGTTTAAAACAAACTGCCTCTTTGAAAACAATGCTTATTTTTCAACATTTTTATTAACATATATATATATATACACACACACACACACACATATACACATATGTACATACATACATACATATATACATACATACAGGCTTATCTGACAGACAAGGATATACCAATCTATTTTCCTACTTAAACTATCTTTTTAATTCTCAAGACAGGCTCTGTGTGGCTTGAAATCATGTCTTATTCTGTAGCCAGACTGAACCTAAATCTAAGATCCTCCAGCCTTAGCCTCCTGAAGACTGAGATTACATACTCTACCACTACACACAGGCAAACAGTTCTTTAAATGGACAACTGAATCCTACTGTATATTCATACACTTATAAATCCTTTACAAGGCACTGAGAGACAGATAAAAATGAAGTAGCCAGGTGGTAACATTACTGAGTATTATAATGCAGTGATTAGATACATGACTTCCTGTTCAACCAAATCTGGGTTCTACCAATGCTGGCTCTACCAAGGTCTTTCACTGGTATAGTTTTATTAGCTTTGAGGTCTCCTATGCTCAAGCTACACCCAGTGAAACAGACCACTTCCTGTTGCCTGTGAGTCTAGATTTAAGAACTCTCAGCTCCTTTTCTAGGGCTACATACAAGGGTGAGCATTTGTTTGTGAAACTTGTTTCAGTTATAGGTATGTGTGTGCATGTGTGTAAAAATACATATGTACTTGGGCAAAGGATGTAGCTCAATTGGTAGAGTGCTTGCCTTACATGCATGAAGCCCTGTGTTTCACTACTAGTAGTGCATAAACTGAGCATGGTGGTACATGCCTATAATCCTAGCACTGGAGAGGTAGAGACAGGAGGATTAAGAGTCAGAGGTCCTATTTGTCTATGCAGGAAGTTTGAGATTAGCCTGGAATACATAAGACCCTATTTCAAAACAACACACACATATGGCTGGTGAGATGTGTCAGTAAGTAAAAGTACTTGCTATGCAAGTCTGATGACCCGAGTTTGATTGCTGGAACTGCAAGTGGGAGGCCAGAACTGACTCTTAAAAGTTGATCTCTGATCACTACATATGCACTGTAGCATGTACATGTCCAAATTTACACATACACATCAAACACACAACATAGTAACAAAGTAAATTGTAAAAAATATGAAAGCTATATATAGTGTGGTGGCTTGAAAGAAAATGTCCCCCAAACAGAATGGCACTAATAGGAGGTGTGGCCTTTTTGGAGGAAGTGTGTCATCATGGTGGTGGGCTTTGAGGTCTCCTATGCACAAGCTACACCCAGTGAGAGAGACCACTTCCCGTTGCCTGTGAGTCTAGATTTAAGACATCTCAGCTCCTTTTCTAGCATCATGTCTGCCTGCATGCTGTCTTGCTCCCCACCGTGACAATGAAGGACTAAACCTTTGAACTGCAAGCAAGCCACCCCAATTAAATGCTTTCCTTAGTAAGAGCTTCCATGACCATGGTTGTCTCTCACAGCAATACAAACCCTAACTAAGACATATACTTACTTACTTCCTCATTCAAGATTTCTATATGAAAGGAATTTCTTCCTAAAGGTTGTAGAAAATAAAACAATGGGCTAAGGAGCTAGATGGCTTAATTGGGAAAGTGAGTTCAGATCTCTAATACTCACATAAAAAGCCATGTGTGGCTGCACACACCTGTAATCCACCTTGTGCTAAAGAGGCAGATACAGGAGGTCTCAGGAGGTCTTAGGACTTACTAGCCAGCCAGTCTAACCATTTGGCGAGCTTCAGGTTCACTGAGAGACCCTGTCTTGAAAAACAAAATAGGAAATGATTGACGAAGACACACCTGATATCACCCTCTGACCTCCACACACACGTGCACACACCGACACAGACACACAAAGAGCTGACAATATAACTCAGTTGTAAAGTGGGTGGTCAATCACTTACAAGGTTCTGTGTTCAATCCCCAGAACAGAACCAACATACACACATACACACACACACACATACACACACACACACACACACACACACACACACCAAAATAACTTCAAATTTTCAAGTTCATGATGTAGCTCCATTTGCAGTATCCCTGTCTAGCATATACAAGGCCCTATATTTGATCCCTTTTTCACATAAATCTGCAGTGCTGATAGACACCTGTAATACCAGTACAAGAAGTGAAGGCAGGAATATCAGTATTTCAAAGTCATCCCTGGCTATATAAGGAATTCAAAGCCAGCCTAGACTATATGACAATCTGTATCAAACAACAACAAAATTTTTTTTTCTATTTCTTTCTATTCTACAGGAAGGGCATGAAGACAGCAAAGATGAACACAAAGGTACAAACTACTCAGAGATAAAACCTTTAGTTTCAGGTTTTCCTTTGGCATATTCCCTCTTGTTTTGTTTGTTTGTTTTTGAGGGAGAAATATTATTCAAAACAAAAACAAGAAATATGGATGGACTATGTTCCATGTATTACTGAGTGTACTGAAAAAAAAAAATTCAAAGCTCTTTCTAAGAAATTGGTTGGGTTTGTTTACTTTGATTTTCTTTTTGAGGCAAGTCTTATTCCGTAGCTCAGGCTGGTCTGGAACTCAGTATATAGCCCAGGATGGCATGGAATATAAGGCAATTCTCCTGTTTTAGCCTGACAATTGCTGGTATTACAGGTATGAGCTACTATGGCCAGCAAAATTGCATATCAACTTAAAAATATTTATATGGGGTTGGGGGTGGGGGAGTGTCACACAATATACCAAAGCATGTGTGGAGGCCTAAGGTAAAAGACAACTTGGGAAGCTGACACTGGACAATTTGTAGAGTTCAAGCTCAGATTGGGCTACACAGACTGTCTTTAAAAAAAAAAAAAAAAAAAAAAAAAGTTAGGGATTGGAGATATAGGCTTAGTGTTGCCTCAAATCCACAGGACATAGGTTATATCCCCAGCACCACGGAAATAAAACCGCTCATCTAGGAACACACACACAATTTGGAAAGTAATGTGGGCATGTAGAAATTAACTAGACTGGATATTTTCTTTTGTGTGTTTAAAGTTGAGGTATATAATTAAACACTGAACTGGATTGCTCAGGTCTCAGACATGTAAGAAGGACTGAGCATCTACATCCACACTGGGCAGGGACAAATCTGTTTTTTTCTGCCTTCCAGTGCTCAGGCTTAGGAAGAGAAGAGTCCAGAGGAATTATCTACTAGGTACTGGTTTACCCAGGACTAAGGGATTTCCAAGAACTTTCAATGCTGAGGTAGGGTAAGTCCTGGGCAAATGGAGTGAGTCACTATCTCTAAAAGGCAGCCATCTGTGTACCCCAGAGCCTGAAGCAACCAAACTGACTTTTGTTGTTGCTGAGGTTCAAAATCTGGAGGCGGGGAAGTATAGAGAGCTACTTTAGAAGAGATTGGGGTGACCATGACACTCGAAGCACTTGAATGAACATCCATTTGGGGCCTACACAGAAGTAGCTGACTTACACAATGGAACATTTGAGTTTCACAAGAATGTAATGGAAAGTAATTCTGGAAGATACATATATTTTAAAGAGTAGGTCCAAACAGGTTAGTGGGGAGTTGGGGTCATCTGTCAAATACTGGAAAAGCATTTAACCTTAAAGCAGGTGAAACACTGATGTAGTGAGCAATTTCAGAAATTGGACACTTCAGCTTTTAAAGACACATAGTACCTGTTACCTGTCCATTTAAGAAAAAGTGTAACTTGCAACAATTTTTAGAGCAAGTTAAAATGAAAGACAGCTCTCCTAGCCTTTCCCACACAATGCCCATCAGGACAGAAAGACTAAACACAGGTGTGAGCCTAAAAGGTACCTGCAATTTGATATTATCATATACAGGCAAGGCAAAAGCTTAGTGTTTGAGGCGTTCACTATATGAGACACATGTGAACAGTTTTATTTTTATGGTGCTGGGGATCAAACCCAGCATCTCACACATGGGAGGCAAATACACTGTCACTGACTCACATCCTTAGCCCTGTTTTTGCTCTTTGGAAAAAAAAAAACTTGAGTAGCTTTTCCTCTTAGAAAGCTATCAAGATTAGCTGGATGGTGGTGGCTCAAGCCTTTATTTCCAACAAAGACAAGTGGATCTCTGTGAGTTTGAGGCCAGCCTGGTCTACAGAGCGAGTTCCAGGACAGGTTTCAAAGCTACACAGACAAACCCTGTCTTGGGAAAAAAAAAAAAAAAAAAAAAAAGGAAAGGAAAAGAGAGATAAGTATCAAGATTAACAATTTACTCAGTTCCTTAGCAATACTGTCTGAAAACTTTGCAGGTAGGGTGAGGAGGCAAATTTGACCCTGACCTTGTTATTTTTCTTCAGAGCCTTATTTCATGTGCTTTTAAGTTTCTCCTGATTTTTTTTTTTTTAACTCAAATCAATGCCCACTAAACCCTAACCCAACACAATCTCATTCAGATCACTTCTGTGACCCTAAACCCCAAGATTCCATCTTGATTCTGTGTCTATGGGTTGCTGGGTTGCCTGACTTACCAAACAGAGCTTACTTAAACTGCTTCAGATAAACATTTTTTTTCCCCAGATGTAAAACTATTTGGCTAATCATGATGACACCAGCCTTTTAATACAAGCACTTGGGAGGTGGAGGAAGGTGGCTATCTGTGAGTTCAAGGCTAAGATAGGGAGTTCCAAGATAGTCAGGGCTACAGAAAGAACCCATTTCAAAAATAAAACAAGCTAGGTAGCAGTGGTGGCACACGCCTTTAGTCCCAGCACTCAGGAGGCAGAAGCAGATGGATCTCAGTGAGACTAAGTTAAAGGCCAGCCTGGTCTACAGAGCAAGTTTCAAGACAACCAGTGTTGTTATACAAAGAAACACTTTCTCAAAAAACAAAAACAAAAACGAAAAAAAAAAAAAAAAAAAAAAGGAAAAAGAAAAAAGAAAAGAGTGCTTACTATTCTTGTAGAAAACCCAAGTTTGGTTCCCAGCATGCGCACGCGCACACACACACACACACACACACTTAAAACAAAAATAAAACACCACTACTGTAACTTAAAACTAATAGATTCAGAAAAATGCATAAGATTTTATGGCTCAAGGACATTTTGAAGATGCTTATTTATTCTGAGCAAAATACACAACCACAGTAGCTTGCCACCACCATAGGTTATACACACTCTGTAGTAACATAAATAGCTACAGGTTCTGCAACAGAAAAGAGTATACCCATAGCTACTGGGTACATGGTTTTATTGTCCACCTACACTTTTGTAATTACTTGGTTAAAAGACAGGTTGAGAATCCCTGTATGAAATACTTAGGACCAGAGGTGTTTCAGATTTCAAGTCTGGGTTTTCTGCATGGACTACCACTTGAATATCCCTGATCTGAGATCTGTCAGTACTCAGATTTTGGAACATTTTTTACTTTCATTTTCTGGTTAAGGATACTCAATCTACAGGTGTAGGGTGTGCATCTATTGCTTTTATGAGCATAAATGCCCATGAAGGCCCTTCAGAGAGCAGAGGTGAACACTTTCTCATGGAGGTATGCTAGTTTCTCTAAGCGAGTCCGCTTCAGTAGTGGAAGCCATTCCCAGTAGGATAATTCTACCACACGGTACCCAATTCGAGCCAGCTGCCTCCTCTTCATATTGTGCAGTCCCAGCAGAACCTTGGTACCATAGCAATATTGATTCCTGTTTGTCAACTGAATAGCTAGCTTCACTAGTGGGGGCTGTGTGTGGGCTACAGGGCACAGGCCATCAATCCCCACATCCCCCGATCTATCTGTCACGTTACTAGCAGAGTTTGACAAGGGTACGGCTATCTTCTTTCTTAACTCCACAGGTGGCTGGCTGGTCTCTAACTCACTTTCCCCCTGGAAATACCTCTTGGCTTTTCCCTTTAGCAACTGATCCATCAAATCATCTGTGAGGCTGACTCCCACCTGCTTAAACTGTAATTGGGCTACATCTTCCATCGGTGTCACTTTGCTGTTAATCGGTAATGGCTTCATGTTAGCATCAAGCTGAACCTCTAAGTCAGAAGATCGAGTGTGAGGCAAAATCATATGGTGCTTGATGTACTGGGGGCCGCCTAAGACGGTCTCAAGTAAATAGAGCGCTTCTAAGAACTCAGGTTTTGATCTCATATCCTTGCGTGCTAAATTCCACAGTGTTACAGATGCCTCCTGCTGAAGGTGAGAATTAAGACGACTGCCCTGGTAACCTGGACACTCAATGGCAACTGTACCGTCAAGAGTATACAGTTCCTTAGTGAGTTCAAACTTAGTATTCTCTTGAGCTAACCTGACAAACTCTGGACTTAGAGCAACATTGATGAACTCAGTTGGAAAGTATTCAGAAAAGGCCAAGCCAAGCAGGCAGGTCAGAAGGTGCTGCGGGTACTCATGGAATTCGGGCATCTTCCTGCGGATTTCATTTATCAGACTGGAATAAAATTCTTCTGTGTTGGGTGGCTTATAGTTCAGGGTTCCAAATGACCACAGAATTTTGGCAACATCTTTACTTCGACAGTGTGTTACCCTTGGAGGCAGAGAGGCAGCTACTGCATTCATTACTCTTTCATCCAGGAAGCGTAAGGAGGAGCAGGCAAGAGTGAGGTGCATGACACCCTGAACCCCCAATGAAGGGATTCGCTGAGGAGCAATTTCTCCAAACCGCTTCATGAAATTCATGTGATCTACATGGGTGAATCTGAACATTTTAAGAATGTGAACTAAGGTGTGGCTGCTGAGGTGCTGCATGTTAGCACAAGCCACATCTCCAATTTTCCGCATGACAAATTCAGAGAGACTACTACTTGATTTAAAAAACCCCAAACAGATTGTACCAACCTCCTCTAAATTTATCAGATCAACATACTTAAGGATCAGTGATTCCAGTTTTTGCATTAGATCCTGTGGTACCTGACGATTTTCACCTATGATATAAATTAAATGAATCAGCTGAGACAAGGATAGCTCTTTCCAGTGTAAATGAAGGTAACTAAAAAAAAAATTTAAAAAACGAGGCACTCTGTGGCCTAAGTTCCGCCAAAGATCAGCAACCAGGAGAAGCTGATTCAGATTCATCTCCCACACCAGACGGCAAAATCTGGTTTCATACATATCCAGCATTGAAGGGGAGAAAGGTATTCTTAAGTCAGCAAAGGCTTTCAAAATACTGATGAGATCCGAGGTAGTAAAGAGCTGCATGTTTTTCACACTCAGTTGGCGGAGCAAAGCAAAGCTGTTACTGGACAGCAAAACAGAATGCTGTTCTGCTGGCAGAGTGCTCAGCTTACAAAGATATGTAGTAATGACTTCTGGCTGGAGTTTATTTTGATGAACTCTGACTTTGTGCAAAATTAGTTCACCTTCTGAAACAGACAGGGGTTGGTGAGTCTCAGATCTGTTATAGCTGTGAAGCTGGTACTCTGGCCTTAGCTTTAAGAACACTCGGGTCACTTCGAAGGAATCAAAAGCCTCTACATCCTCTTCACCAGCTCCGTTGGCACTGGGTGAGCCTGGATGCAATGTGCTGGCCTTAAGGGTAGAAGCTTTGTTGGATTCCAAACCCAGGTGGGCACTGCTGGTTGTGCAGATTCTCTTTGACAAGGCGACATTGCCAATGTTCTTAACTTCTTTGGCAGGATAGCAGGAGCTATTATGTTCAGGAAGGTTCTGTCTCCCATGATGTGTGCTGTTTTCCACATTCCAATATGCCATGCTTTGGGCTGCACGGTAGGCAGAAGGATTACAAGATGCTTGGTATTTTAAAAGTTTTAACAACTTGAGGGTGGCTGTCATTCTGGAGCCTGTACTGATCTTTTTGGCAATCAGAGCAATAGTCCTCACATGTGTAACTAGGCAAGTTCTTGTTTATGTGGTACTTGATTAGAGACGGACAGGGAGATGTTCCACAGAAACTGCCTGTAAATCTTCGGCATACCACAAGAGTCGTGGGCCGCAAATGATGGGGCCAGAATTGGTGCCAGATACTGAAAAAAGGGTAGACGGAGAATGAGTGGCTTCTACCTATAATACAAGATTTATACATTATAAGAAATAGGTGCAGCCAGGTGTGGTGGAACACATCCTTTAATACCAATACTTAGGAGGTAGAGTCCAGAGCAATAATGTGAGTTTCAGGCCAGCCAGGACTATCCTGTGAGGCCCTACCTCAAAAGACAAAAGGGGAGATATATATATATATATATATATATATATATATATATATATATATATATATATGAGAGAGAGATAAAGATGCAGGCTGGACTACTGTCCTTGCAAGTATGTTTAATGTTTGCAAATGCCAAAGCACAAGCCATGAAGTGTAAAGGACAAATGGTTCTTGGCAAACAAGAAACCCTCACACCAGAAGTAATAGTATGTGGTTTCTAGACTGCTACTTAACATAAACTCACATCCTTGTAGGGAAGGACAAGAGGGGGAAGGCAGATTTCCAAAAGGAAGCTGGGGGTAAAAGCAGGCAAGTTATTCCATTTCTTTACTATCAACATGTATGAGTCCTCTGGAGAATAAAAACGTGTAAAAGCTGCCGTGCTAATAGCATAAAGGAAAATGTGAGACTTCCTTTATTTTTTTAGTATTTATTTGATGTGTATGAATGTTCTGTCTGCAAGTATGTCTATGCACTAGTTGTGTGACTGGTGTCTGAGGTCGGATAGGAGAGTTGGATCCTCTGAGCTGGAGTTACAAGCACTTGTGAACCACCAGACTTGGGTGGTGGGAATTGAGCTCAGGTTCTCTCAAAGTGCAAAAACAAAACAAAAACAAACAAAAAAACGCTGTTCTTTTCAGCATTTTTCCTATTTATTTGTTTGTTTATATGTATGGGTATTTTGCACACCAAAAGAGGGCATGAGCTCCCATGGGACTACAGTTATGAGTGACAGTGAGAAGCCATGTAGGTACTGGAAACTGAACTCAGAACCTCTGGAAGAGCAGACAATGTTCTTAACTGCTCAGCCATTTCTCCAGCCCACAACAGGTACTTTGTGACTTTATTCTTCTAGATTCAGTTGTTTTGTTTTTGAAACAGGGTCTCACTGTGTGTAGTGTTGGCTGGCCTAGAACTCACTTTGTAAACCAGGCTGGCCTCAAACTCCCTGAGGTCTTCCTGTCTCTGCCTCCCAAGTGTTGGCGTAAAAGACATAAAACTGGCTGAGGTTCAGTTTTAAAATGGAAGTACGGTAGGGTTGAGAGGATTATGCAAGAGTAGTACTATGACTGACAGAATTACGCAGAAGGTATCAATTCAACTCTGAAATGACTATGCAGTAGGAAGGATCAGAAACTAAGAATGGCCAACAAAATCTAAATAATGAGGACTTCCATTTCCATTTTAGAGAACATGAAGAAATTCTGAACTCCAGGCATGGCTTTGGGAAACTTTAATGCTCACATGAAGGATTATAATCTCAGCTTCTCAGAAGGTCGAACCATCTCTCTAGTCCCTTTAAAGCAGGCATAAGCTTTAACTGATTATAACAACAGTAACCCTCCCAGTTCTTACTATTCCTCTTAGAAAAGGCCAACTGTCCTCTTTAGGCTGCTTTGTTTTCTGAGTGGTCGTATTATGTAGCTTAGACTCAAATTCATGACATTCTTGCCTCAGCCTACTTACTAGATGCTGGGGTTACAGGTGGTTGCTACCACACCCAGATTGCTTAAAACAGAATTTGTACCACTAGTACAGATAATCAGGACCTGGGAAGCACACTCAGAAACTCATGCATGAGAGTGGGGGGAAGCAAAGTTCAGAAGCCTGTTCACTGCTGGTCCCTAGTAGAAAACAGTCACTCAAAGCTGTGCTTTAAGGTACAAGCAATCCCAGTTCATTTGACTGTCCTGCCAACGAGCCCAGGGACAGCACAGGTCTCCTTGGGCGGGGAGTGGGATGGGGGTTGGGGAAGGGGAGTGGCTCACAGAGGCAGATTGTCAATGCTGCCACTGAATCAGGTACTAAGTCCTCACTTGGCTGGAAGCAGTACAATTTCCATTTTCCTCCCATGGAAAAAAATGAGCAGGCCATGAAACTGGCTCTCTAGTATTCTTCTACCTCTTTTTGAAAAAAAAAAAGTTGTTTTTTCCTACTAGGTATGGTGGCACATGACTTTAATCCCAGCACTTAGGAGGCATATGTAGGCTTATCTTACTGAGTCTGAGGCCATCCTGGTCTACATAGTGAGCTCCAGGATAGCCAGGGCTACATAGTAAGGCCCTGTCTCAAAAACAAAACAACAGCAATGATTTAATTTTTCATTTCATGTATACGGGTGCTTTGCCTGCTTGTATGTATGTGTATCACTTGTGTAGAGCTGAGGCAAGGTGTTGGGTCCTCTGGGACTGGACTCCTCATGTTTGCCACCATATAGGTTCTGGGAATTGAACTGTAGTCCTCTGCAAGAGAAACAGTGCTTTTAACTGTTGAGCCATCTCTCCAGTCCATATTCTTCCCCTCTTCAATGCTCATTTTTTTTTTTTTCATACTTACTAGCAAAGTCCAAGGAGATGTGAGCATCCAATCAATGGAACATACAAGGTTATTGCTGCAAAATTTTCATAAATGATCTTCTGAAATCTATTCCTCTCTCCTGTCTGCATTTAGCCTGTTAAGTTTCAAACCCTGGACAAATGGCTGAGGTACCTACTGAACATATCAAAGCACGCCTAGCCACTGGGTTCTCCTAGTATCCCTTAGTCCCTATCTGTTACAGGGTCCTCATGGCTGGCACACCCCACCCTATCCTAAACTTCTCCAGCCCAGGAGCTGGCTGCCCTCTTCTCCCCCCAGAGGCTCTTCCCTATATAATCCAGACATTTTGGGTACCCATTCTTCTTTGATCCTTTTGCCTTCTTGGCTGCTGCACCTGGTTCCCCCTCTTCCCTCTCCCTCCCCCCCCCCCCCAGTATCCTCACATGGCTCAGAGTCATGTCCACTCTGGATTTTCCAGATGTCTCTGCCTCTGGCAACACTCTCACTTTTTATCTACAATAAACTTTCTCCTCCACCATACCTAGGAGCAATCATGTCCTGTCCAGGGCTATGCCAGGGTACCAACAGGCAGCACTGGAACTCATGGAACATGGCTGAGCTGTTGGCAAAGTCATGCATGAGTGAGCAAAGCCCTGAGAACTATGTGTCCTGAGCACCTCATGCTGTTATTCAGCATAGCCCATTGTTGCCTTCATGGTCATCACAATCTTTATAACCTTTGTGTTGTATGAAAACTCTCAGGGGGTTTCTGGACCTTCACTGGGCAGTTATTGGTACTTATAATAACAGTGATTGACTTTTCCCAAGCATTGCTGCTAGAGCAGATTAATGATTCAACCATCATCCTTAGAAAGAATTTAGACATGTACAATTGTTAATAAGGTTAGGGTAAGGTGTTTTTGTTAATGGCTTTGGGATAGAAAATCTTGGGGACAATTTAAAGTTTAGAAAGTTGAACAAGGGACTCATTGAGGTCAGGGAACAAAACAATGGCAACCTGGCTTTTGCTGGCTCAGATGAGTTGGTGATCAAAGGTGATGATTAATTCCTTATACATATTCCTGCCCTCAGCTTCCTGATGTGATTTAATAAAAACTGTTGATGAATGGTTATGCACCTTGAGGATTTAAAGTACAGCTGACTGTTTTTCATATACAGAAGTTTAGATTTGTGATTTCAGATTTTTTATAAGATTACCTTTTGAGATAAGTTATAAAGTGATTGATCCTTTCTTTGTAACCAACAAATGCAACCTGCCAGCAAAAGATCTAGCTAATGAAAACTCCTTGCTTGCTTATACTACTCTGTTAATCTATAACAAGTTGCTTGGGTGTGAATGTGTGTTCTTGGAACAACTTGTTTTTCACCTGTTTAATCATGTAAGGGATATGGAAAACATGTTTTTTACTTGTATTCATTATAATAATGATGTAGCTACACTGTAATTTTTATACTGCTTGAGAAATTTTGCTGTAGTATATAAGCTGTAAGGGGAAAAAAATAAAGACATGAGGGAAGGGAAACACCAGGAAAGATATGGAAGGAAAGCTGTAGAAAGAAGACATCAGGAAATAGTTCGAAGGAAGTCATCAGGAGAGACATAGAAGGGGAACACCAGGGTAGAAGAATTAAACAAAAAATAGAACAAGGAAAAAAGAATAAAGAAGCTTTCACCCCTCAGATAAGAAGTCTATATGTTTTCTCACTGACTCTGCATCTCATTCCCAGTCTCTCTGACTGCTGAAGGTTGATACCTCTACAATGTCCTTTCTTATTTACTTATTTATTTATGTACATATTATTGTTTATCTGGTGCCAAAACGCAGGACCAGTAAAGTCCTTTTCTTCTCTATTCCCTTTTTTCACTCAGTCTCTCCTTACCAGAGCCCATAAAGAGCCAGGTCTGAAAGGCAGGCCAAAGGGTTTCATTCTGCCTACCAGGCTTCTTTTTCTGGGTGTCAGCAAAGTATGTTTTAATTTCATGGTAAATCTTTATACACTGGGCTCCTTTTTATAAGACAGGACATTACTATGTGGTCTTGCTATTCACTAGGTAGACTAAGCTGAACTTTGATTAAATTTAGAGATCCATCTGCCTCCCAAGTCCCTAATGGTGGCATGCACCATTATACCTGGTACTACATTTGGTGTTTTACATGCCCAGCTTCAACTGTTCAGGTGGTCACAAGCTACATCCTTGGGCCCAAATTAAACCCTGTACCTGGTTTTCATAAGTAAAATTTTATCTGGACATATCTAATGTCTGTGTTGGCTTTCTCAATAGAAGAACTAAGTAACTGTCTCAGAGATTGTATGGCTGTAAGACATAGTTTTTTTTTTTTTTAAAGATTTATATATTATGTATACAATGTTCTATCTGCATGTTTGCCTGCACACCAGAAGAGGACACCAGATCTTATTACAGATGGTTGTGAGCCACCACATGGTTGCTGGGAATTGAACTCAGGACCTCTGCAAGAGTAGTCAGCGCTCTTAACCTCTGAGCCATCTCTCCAACCCCATAAAG